TTATCAGTCAGAAGAAGGTCCAATTTGCATCAGACATAAGTCTGTTTGGTTCAGCAAGCGTGCGAGAGGTTCACTGACGCAATGAAGCGGCGAGAAATTTAAACGGTAACATCTCCACTACTTAAATGTTTAAGTAAAACATTAAATTGATGTTTGTAGTATTTTCTTTACAGCCTGCGCACCTTCCCCGAAATCAATCATACCCTTTAGGGAGCAAAAATATTTTAAGGAACAAGTTTCATAATGAGTTAATAGCACTGATGCGTCATCTCAATTCGTTCCTTTTTTGGTTTCAGTCAGTCAGCACCACTCAGTATATTTGGAGTAAATGACAGAAGCTCTGAAAACTCCATTTAAACGGGAGAGGCGTGAAGCAAAATAGTTAACTTCCAGAAATTTTGCATGTAGTTTTAGTGCGAGGAATGCATAAACCTAATAATGGAAAATAAATACGAAAAAGGCGTGGCATTTGAGAAATAACGGCGAAAAAATCGTACACCGCATTCCCATTGTGGAAATTTTCATTTGGGTCAAGTTAGTTTATACAAAAGGATCTGTTGAACTCATGTTAGTAGTATGTTGAAAGTCATTTCGGTAATCTTTTATATAGGGCTTGGGGAGTGCGGGTTGCCTTTTAACAGGTGATTGTCCAGTTCCCTGACATCCGGTTTTGGGGATAGGGAGAGAGCTAGGGACTACCGGGCGCTACGGCACATATGCCAGAAACACTTACCCGGTTCAGCCCAAAGGTCAAAGACGGTTGCCGCGGTGTGGCAGGCCTACCAGGCACGGTCTCGTAGAGACACGGATGAGTGCAGGGTGCCAAAACGGGACAAAACAGGAGTATCAGTTAAGGCTCATCAATGCGTCCTAAGAGGACTGTCGATGCACTGTTTGTAGATACTTCTCATCGCCATGGTCTTGTCTGTGCTAGCAGGCCCGGCTAGAGTCGTCTAAGCTGCACATGTCGCACATGTAGCGTATGTGTGTATGTCTCAGAGGCCGTCAGCCGCCTTCTCACACCCTTTGGAAATGGAGTAGCACACTGACCGGCGGCAACCATAACGCGCCAGAGCACGAGACCGAAAGACCCCCTGCCACAACAAGAAACATCTGGAGTCGTTTATCGCGTCTGGCGCAGCTGTGGACAAAGCAATTGTTGGAGAAACATGAAAACTACTGCGGACGCGGATGGCCGAGCATGCAGCAGCGGTGAGAAGGAAAGACGCCAGCTCCCAAGTCGCGGCTCAGTCGACGGGATCCAACCAAACAATTAAGTTTGACGAAGCAGAAATTCTTCCTAGAGGTGACAACCGCGTGAGCCGCGAACAGCTCGAGTCATGATTTTCCGGTCCTCAGTCAATCAACAAGCTCAATGACCTTCCCGCTCCATATTCGGCACTGAGACTTTTCTTGGGCAAAGTGGTTAGCCGCGAGGGCAGTATGTCGATGACCACTGTTCCTGGTGTCAATAGCGGCGAGCCAAATTGCCCAATAGTTCACACGGATGCCGAAATATGGCCGTCAGCAACTCGACTGCGTGCGATGAGCGAGGGAATTGATAATCTTGACCGGCAAACAAGGGCATAGCAACGGCACGGCAGCTGCATGCTTCAACACATGGCCAGTCGGGCCGCGATGCACTCGGGAGCTGCCAACTGCGAAAGGCATGTAGCGACCTGGCAACTATATCCTACAAATACTGCAACACCTGGGCAATTTACCACCCTTATCTGACTCTGTCTCTGATGATGGATTCGAATGAGGATCCGAAACGTCAGGCTAATAAAGCTCTTGTTCCAGCGATCGTGTCTCCTTTTTCGTGACTGGATATAATCGTCGGCATAAGATTATGCAAATTCCATTCAGACGCATCGCTTAACCTGGTGTGATCGTACAACTAAATAGAGGTTCTCTGCCAACGGAACCCCTTACACCCCTTGATAGTCCTTCTAGGCATTACAGTAGCACAAGCCAACATTTACTTAACTATTTGACTGCTTTTGGTCGACTGTGAGCAGGCCTGGCCTAGCCGGCCTCAATAATACCGCGGCTTATGCCACTCCGTGAGTGACTGTCTGCGGCGGCCAATTTGGAGAGCCCGACTCATTCTCGCCTTTAGCGACGGAGACCGAAATACCGGAGGTCCATGAGCCATTTGAATGTCCTGACGAACCCCGCTGAGCCAGGTTTTCAGTTGGTCTCTTCGAGGTCTCCAGTTGGACGCCGGTGCCGGATCAAGGGCAAGAACACCGATATTGGGGGCGGACGACGATGAACATACTTAATATATTTCAGTCATATTTCCTGGACTGTCTGAGGTATTTCCGCGATGTGTGGACAGTCTTGTCCGAGACGAAATCAGTACTCTTTATTCAAAGAATGATCCTCAGGTAATGGGAGTCAAACATCTGCAGTTTTGCCCATCTACGAACACAGTTAGGCATTCACAGCAGTGAAAAACTGACTGGACAGGTGGTGAGGAAGACATAGCACAAGATCACTAGACGCTTTCTAAGAAATGCCAAAATACTGCGCGCAAAATCGACCCTTACTTCATCAATCTGACGGCAGCTTCACCTCACGGTATAGAAAACTGTCTACTTATTCAGGCGGACAGCCAGGAATTCCGGAGAGCGTCTTTTGGTCCGAGATGCAGTATTCAGGGATGCAACGACTGATTTAGCGGCACAATTCATCCTAGACTTAACATTTTATAGGTTATTCCAGTTTGATATCGTCAGAGTGGCTCAGGCAGGCCAGTCTGCGATCCTGCCCAGAATTCAGCAAGGGACATGTAACAGAATGGGCCAGGAAATACAACTTTACCCAATACAAAACAAATGGAAGAAATTTTCTTAGACCCAAATTCGCACACGTGGGTGAAGCCACGGAAAGCCTTGATTGTGATGATGGTTCTTCACGCATACCGTCTAGTTCCATTGTCGGTCACAGGGATTTCGAAGTGTGCGATGGCTTGAAGACGCGAAGACAGATTTGGTTGAATAAGCTTTACTGAGGCTAGAGAGCGCACAAGCGGCCCAACAAACGGTTACAGCAAGTCGCCTCTTCAGGCGTGTGTGTCAACCGTTGAGATTTTTTAGCCCAGGCGCGGGGTGCGTGTGTGCGCCTCGGGTTTGCCCGCTTGCAGCTAATCGGCCAGGGAGGCAGCGTCGATCGGTCTCCGGCTCTCGTCACATTGGTGTCAAGTGTCGCGCAGATGGAGTCAGCGAGCGTGAGGCGGACAGAAAGACGGCACGAGTAGGCGGCCGCGCCGGTGATAGCGGAGGGCAGATTGCCACAGGGACCCACGATGAACAGCATCGGACGCTGCGACGAAGTGAGCAATGCCGAGAGCTGGCAGTTATCGGTAACATTTACAGGGTTTTACAAAATTCCGCAGTGCAAATATCTGGTTAGTGCATTCCTGTCCGGCCTGGGACCAAGCTTTGTTTAGCTTCGTCCTTCCGTCATGACGGGTTGGTCACTCAAGTCGAGAACTTGCTCTTTATGTTGATACCAGTAGCTGACTTGACCCAGATTTTCAGCCGTGAGACCGTCACTCACATCGATAGTGGTCGAGACAGTGATAGTGAACTTGGCGGCTGTTATTGACGCTTGAGGCCCGCACCATTGAGATCGCCACTCCAGCCCAGCACTTTTCGCGCACACCTCCAACCGATTTTGCAGTCACCTACCGGAGTTGGCGGAAGGAATGGTCATTACAGTACCTAGCTCGCGTTGTATGGGCAGACAACTGAAAGGCTCCTGCCCTGATACATTGACCGCGACGCCGCCCAGTGAAACCAAGAATTCTCTCAACTGCCCTGTCGACTGAGGACTTCAGCGACGACAATTTGCTACTGTCTACCCCTTGGACTCGGGTTGTAGGTCGGCACCGGATAGCTGTGCTCAGAGGCTCGATTTTGCTGACTTGTCTGAATTGTGCAGCATCGAGGAGTTTTCGCACGTGACATTATGCGCTCGGGTGGGAAGAGAACGAGAACATGGTCTGATCCGTGGGTGTCGTCAGCCTCGACAGTACGCATCGACCTGCTATAATGAACCGGGAAAGTTGGTCTGTAGTGGTCAGTTGTTAGAAGAGTTGCCTGACCTAGCCTGAATATTTTAGTGTCCAACAGCAATCAGTAAATCATGGCAACGGTCTTTGATCCCATTCTTACACCTGTGAGTATGATTCTTCTTTATCGCGCTGATCGACTGCTAATGTTGGCGCACAGATGGGAACTACAGAGACGATGCTAGAGGGGCGCTCACAGATTGGTGAGCGGAAAAAACATCAAGAGGTCGACTTTGACCGCCAAACTGCAGCGGAAAGCGTCTCAGAAATGCAATTAACGCTTTAATCACCTTGGGACATTCTGACTCGGCAGCTGGAAAGAACCTAACTAGAGGCATGGCCGTTACCGGTGTGAATGGTTATCGTCAACTACGAGGATGAGATTAAAAGAGGTCGAATCAAGATAGTCCGGTTGGCTATGCTTTACTAAAATTCCGCACGACAATTTTAGTAGTGCAGGCCTATCAAGGATACCCGAGAGAAATCGCAAAGTTTCAGAAATAATATACTTATTCTTCAAACAGAATAAAAGATAAGTATGTACAAAAAGAAGAAATTATCAAAAATATGCTAGCAGTTTTCATACATACAGACACTAAGGCCACCCATTTTGGGTAACCGATACTGTGTTAAGGGGCGCGTCCAAATGAATCTCGAAGTGTTTACAAGGATGGTAGTCAATTTATACAAATGCATATGACACCCTAAGTCTCATCAATCGCAGGAACGTCGGTGCGGTTAAAATACTGGCCTGATTGACTGTGAAAATGAAGTCTTGCCTTCCATTCAGATTCAAAATCAGACAGTTGTGCCAAGAACGAATGGAACCGTTCCGTGCTTGCGGACAATGCCAATTCCCGCAGTTTCTCAAGTTGTGGTCTAATCAATTCGACGTTAGGATCAGATAAGACATGTGAAGGGTCGGCTTTGGGTGGTCTCGCGTTGTATCGATTCTTCGCCCTCCGACGCCGTTTCACGATCAGACCTTCTTCTTCATTAATGCTGATGCCAGACAAGAGCCAGCTATGAGGTTGGTACTCACCGGAAGCTTCTAATGAGGGTGGATGATTGTGACGCATCTCATACGACAGAATCTCTACGTATCCCTTGGCAGATGAAATTCGCATTGAGGACCTACAACCAACCTTGTTTTTGAAACTTGAAAGGTGAGAAATACTTCTTTCTCCTACCAAAAGCCGTTATTTCTCTTGGTTCTTCGACATCTCTTGGTGCTGCGAGTGCTTCCATAGTGTACACAGTCGTAAATTACGAACTTGTACTTTAAGTGTTCTTTGCCATAGGCATCAGGAGGCCAAACAACTGTGGATCGCCGACTGTAAAAACACCCAGTCTCCTTTTGTTCAGAAATAGGTTACTGTTGAAAAGACAAGAGTACCCTTTGGAATTCCTCAAGGCGACTAGCGAAATCATCAAAGGTCGGAAACCTGCCCGAGGAAAAGACCTCAACGAACTGGGTCGTTCCGTCGAAAATTACATTGTACTCGGAATAATTCTGTAGGTAAATAATTCAAACTGTTTCTCACATCATCGCCCGAATTTCTGCCTGTCTGCTGAGGATACTGAAGTGCCGATTCTATTGGCACTGGGTGATTGTGCTTCATGTTTACGTTTGTAACTGTGATATAACCATTGCTCGAAGTGATATAAAAGCAGGATCTACAACCAAGTTTACAGCTGATCCTGCAAAGTATTACTGAGTTATGAAAATTACTTTATGTTCGGTTTATTGGGTTTGTTTCGTTTTCGCTGTCCGTAGTGTACACATTCGATTTTAAGCCGCCGGTAAACCAGGTGTTGTTTCTCTAACGCGTCTGGAGGCCAACGACACGCGTTGCGTTTAATGTAGATACTTTTCGTTTTCTTTAGTTGAGAATATGAATAAAATCTTTAATGAGTACTGTTTGAAATTTTTTAAGCTGTTCTTCGAACTCTTCGTAAGTTCCGAAATGCTTGACAGGGAAGGAACTTTCGAATTCCTGGGAGAGGTCGCACCGAACTTCATATCCATCCTCGTCTAAATTTACAAGAATAAGGTTAATTTAGTACTAACCGTTGGGGTCGCGCTGTCGAAAGGCCGGGTTATATATGACCGCATGGTTATGGGCCATGAAGAATTGAATGACGCGTAGACAGGAGCTTTTCGAGGCAATAGTAAAAAAGGCCTCGCAGTCAGTCGAGTAAGCATAAGCGCAAACAAAGTGGGCATAGCGATATTGATGAATGTCTCTCATCGAGTGTCCCAGGTTATGTCTAAGTCTTTTCTTCAAAATAAATTGACTGCCACTTTCCTACCGGAGCTCATAAATCTTAGAATCACGTACCTCGGTAAAGGCATCCAGTTCTTTTTGGAACTCATCGAACGAGAGAAATGCCTTTCCGGCAATGGAATGCTGAAAACTGTCCGTGAAATCCATAGCCCTTCGTCGCCAAGAGCCGTGTCCAGATCAAACCGGAAAACACACAACAGGCAGCCGCAAAACCCAAAAACCAAAGCATTATCAGTTCAAAGGTAGCTGATAATGTTAAGGTACTAGTAATTTATTCCGGGAAAGATGCGCACCCCCAAGTACTTGAAGTATATTTCAGAAGAATATGCAATGACAAATGCCCAGAGATGGAAAAAACAGCAGTTTTTACCAAATATTTGGATAATTGGCTGCTTTCTCAAGTCAGTTTATGCGGGTTCCGACCAAAATGGGATACATAATTCTCAAAAGGTTAATATAGTCTAGAGTAATTTGAACACGAGTCCCCTAGAGGCGAATTTAAGAGAATCTAGAAAATCAGAGTCGTGTCACTTGCAGTTTCGGGTCCCTTTCTATCTAAACCGTCAGCCATATGTAGACGTCGTGATGTCGAAATTATTTTATTTTGCCTCTGATTAAGTTATGCCAAGTGAACTTTGGTGAATGTGTGTTCAAAATCCAAATTGAGCAACAAAGGAGGACAAATTCCCCTGAAAGCCTTGTTCATTTTTTGCAGTTTCTCATCTTCCCGAGTGTTTTCATTTGCCTTGTATGCTGTCCCCACTGTGAATAGACATTTGTGTGCTAGAAGTCCCTTGCTGACATATCACTCAGCAAACCGGACTTTTGGTATCTAAGCAGACTTCCTCACATCTACCCTCAATGTAGTAAAATCATGCTCTTTGCAGTAAAAATACTTCTATTTGGGCACCCGTTAGAGTGCTCTCATTGCAACAGCACGTCCACGTTTGCACAGCCGGCTGTCAAATTTAGCATTTACGGCAGTAATAAATAAGGACCGACATTTTGTTCGAAGAAGAGCGTGTCGAAACGATCTTAGTATCCGAGATTTAGCAATAACAATTGTATCCAATGTCAGTGTACAGACATTGACAAAGGAAGAAAAAGCACGGATCAGGCTAATAGTAAAAAAAGCTCCTTATGAGTAGATACAGAGGGTGGTTTTGTGTAGTATGGGTGGTCCAGGAGAAAAAATGCTAGCCGCCAGATGACGTCAGTCCAGAAAGGGATTGAAAACACTGCATCGCATATTTTCAGTCTCTGTTAATTCTAATGAAATTGGGCTGAACCAAAACCGAAGCACTGAAGAACCGTTGCTCGTAGTCGACTGAGGAAATAGTCCGTGGTGAGACCGGCCAGGGGATCGGAGACCACAAAATCCATCCTTCTTTCAGTCAAGGACCGGCAGAGCGCGCTTATAGCGCAATTACGACAAGCGATGCGGAACGCGAGGCTGAACCTTGTTTGGCATGGGTATATATCCTACCGGAGTGCAGAAAGCTCGTAGCTGAGGAACCAAATTTAAAGACACCCATGATATTCGCCTTCGGCGGCGTCGGCGAAGGCAGCAAGCGGAAGGTTGTTCAGCCGTTGAGCCAGCTCGTTGCTGAAATGGAGATGGTGAGCGGGCAAAGACAACAAGGCAACATTCAGCTTACCTGGGGGTCGTTTACCTTGTGGTATCCTGCGAGGTTTTAGGCGAATAGGCATCTTCGAGGTGGCGAAGCGATGGTCGGTCCACCCGTCAGCACCCGCGATTCCCTTCTTCACCAGCACGTCCCGCTGATCTCGCCTCCAGACGAGGACATAGTCCAGCAGGTGCCACTGACGCGACCGAGGATGCCTCCAGGTGGCCTTCTCTCGCTCCGGCAGACAGAAGAACGTGTTTGTCAGGATAAGGCGGTGTTCTGCGCAGGTGCGGAGGAGCAGCAGGCCATTGTCGTTTGAGCCGCGGAGACCGTGGGGACCCAGCACTCCTCTCCAAGCAGCATGGTCTGTGCCGACGCGGGCATTGAAGTCACCAAGGATAATCAACTTGTCCGCCTTCGACACAGTTCCCAAGAGGACGTGCAGGTCCTCGTAGAATTCGTCTCTTGCGGCGGCAGCTTCGGGGCTGCTCATCGGCGAAGCGTAGGCGCTGATTATGGTGGCTAATTTGTCCCCCCCGGAGGGGCAGACAGAGTCTCATCAGGCGATCGTTGATGCCCTGCGGCAAACAGGGCAGTCGTCCCACGATGTCATTCCGAATGGCGAAGGCGACGCCCGCG